TAATAAACAGTCCACAGTTCCAAAGTTTGAGTTCTTAAATACATACGAGTATTAAGTATCGCTAATATTAATGCAACTAGGTTATAAATAATTCCAAAATAGTTAGGTCTAATATTAACTAAGGCTAGTGTAGGCTAATATTAATGTAACTAAGTTGTAAATAATTCAAATTAATTTCATCTTAATCTATAGTGTTAGTATAATAAGGCTAATGTATACTAATATTAATGTAACTCTAGGATTGTTTAATGCTAATTCTCAGTTGTAAATAATTCAAAATTAATTGAATCTAATATTAACTAAGGCTTGAGGTAATCTATTTACAAAATTATTCTATAGGAGTCTTCATCAATTGTACAGATTGATGGGGACTCCCAAGCGCTTCTAAAGTTAGATAACGAGAGTCGGAAGTAGTCGTACGCATTTCTCTTTTTGATCTAGCTGAGGTCATAGCGGATTATACCCTCAGGAGGGTCATTCCCATTGTGGAAGGTGGATTGATTTCGAAATTTCCAGATGCTGTACAGAATTGTCTTAACTAGAAAGCGAGCAATGCGATTCTTTTTTGGACTGGCGGGGGCCCAGCGTAAAAACAAAACATAGGTAAAGGATGGGAGAAAACTAGTTCCAAGGGTAGAGGAGATAACAGGGGAAAAGTGGGACCATACAGATTTCACACGGAGACAATTGAGAAAGCAGTGATCTATAGTTTCTTAACGGGAACATAAGGCGCACTTATCTGAGTCGATATATCTCTAATTTTTTAGAGAATCGCGGACCTCAATAGCGCGAAGTACAATTTGCCAGAGTATATCGTTCTCATGATTTTCAGAAAAGTCATATCGCACTAAATTCCAAAAGCGATGAAGAATTGGAGATGTGGAGTTTTCCTTCAAGAGAGTTCGATAACATTTCTTGCAAGAAAATTCAAAATCGCACCACTCCGTGAGGGAGAGAATCCCACGTAGAGTGGTGAGAGCCGAGATAACACTATTCATAATAGGGCGTCAAGATCTGTGTACTCGGGGTGGAGTTATTTCGAAGAGAGCTCCACTCCGAGCGACAGGAGTCAAGCCTAGAGCCTAGAAAATATCTGGCCAAATAAAAGGATTTCGATTCGTGATCATCTACATTGGAAATTAGTGAGGCTAATTTAAGAGAGTTACCTTTGGTAAGGAAATTTAAAATGTCGAGACCGTCATTGTTAAGATATTGGTGGCAGCACGCTCGGGTAACCGTTTCGACTCGACAGCCCCAGACAAATGACCAGATTAAAGGGTTAACCTTAGAAATAACCCATTTCGGGACACACAAAACTGTAGAGAGGTAAAGGAGCTTGCTAATTCCGAGGGTGTTAACAATGAGCGATCGGCCGACAAGAGATATAGAGCGGGATTTCCATAAATTGAGATGTTTCTCTAATTTCTCTAGTTTTCGCTGCCAGTTGTCTAATTTAGTATCGCAGCCGAAAACAACACATAGAGTTTTAATTTTTGTCATCCATCCGAGGCCAAGTGGTCGGTTGTCGCCCGTAGCCACGCCCCCAACCACGTGGCCTCTGTTTTCGTGAGATTAAGGCGTGCCCCAGAGCCACGCTCGTAAATATAAATCATGTTGATTAGAACTTGCAGAGAGCAATAAGATTTTACTATACAGGTCGTCTCGTCAGCATAATTTCCAACTTTATAGCAGAGACCATGAGCGCCCGGAAGGAGAAAGCCTTCGATCTCAGGATTATTTCAGATTTTGCATGCGAGAGTTTCAACCCACAAAACATAGAGCAGGGGAGACAGGGAATCCCCCTGTCTCACCCCGCGAGACAAAGGAATCGCATCGTTTAGCCATTCATTAACAATAACACGCATATTGGCGCCATAATATAAAGTGTTGATCCAAAAAGAAAAAGACGGGCCAAAACCAAAACGGGGTAAGAGGCTTTGCAGAAAGCTGCGATTAACACGATCGAAGGTTTTCTCTAGATTTAAACTGAGCAAAATGCCGGTTTCATTCGTGCGTTGGATGGAATCTAATATATCTCTAAGTAAATGTAAGTTTGAAGAAATTTTGCGTCCGGGTACAGAGCAAGTTTGATCACGGTCAACGATATATTCCAGAACTTTAGAGAGTCGAAGAAAGAGAACTTTTGAGCATAACTTATAATCAACGTTTAAGAGGGAAATCGGACGCCAATTTTTTAGATTTTTTAGATTACGATCTCCTTCCTTAAAAATAACGCTTGTGTTGCTCATCTTCATGGAATCTCTCCGGTTTGATAGCATGCATTTCAGACTCGACATAAATGTGGAGCTAAACGATCCCCAATTCTAGTGTAGAATTCAACCGAAAGGCCATCAGGGCCAGGTGATTTATTCCTATTCATATTTTTCATAGCAAAGGTATGTTCGTCAAGCGTGATCTCGCCTTCACAAGATGACGCCTGATCAAAAGTTAATTTCCGTGATAGAGAAGATAAAAGATCGTCTTGAAAAGCAGCATCTATCAATTCTTCGGAAAAGAGCTGAGTATATACATCGATATGAGCCTTTTCAATCTCCTCTTGGGAGGAGACCTCGTTACCGGTAGAATCATAAACCGAAGAGGTGTCGGATCGTTGAGTTTTAATTCTTTGTTAATTAAAAAAATACCGACTGGGGCGTTCGCCTTCCTCTAGCCATTCTGCTCTACTATGAATAATTATTCCTTGGACTTGTTTAGTTCGAAGGCCTTTCAAACGACATTCAGTGTCAGAAATTAAAGGAATAACGGAACTGACTCCGTCAACTAAACGTTGGCGAAGACGGATCAATTTGTTCGTCAAAATCACCTGGTCTCTTTGCAATTGCCTTCGCTTTTTGCGGGAAAAGGAGATCGTTTCTTCTTTAATAGACCGTTTTAAAAACTCCCACCAATCTTGGAGACACGGAAAAAAGTTAAAAAACGTGCATGATCATCAATTAGTTTCTCTAAAGTAGCTCAAAAATCCTTATCGTTCAAAACAGAGTTGTTAAAACACCAAACGCCTGGACGGCGTTTTACAGCGGTGGGAATATGAAAAGTAAGATAAACAAAATCGTGGTCTGATATCGAACAAGCGCGAACGTCACACTTAACATTGGGTGATAATAAATCTTCCGAAATCAAGAACTTGTCAAGTCTGCTCCCAATTTACCGTGTGGAATTAAACCACGTAAACTCTCTTGATCTTGGATGCAAATTTCGCCAAACACCTGAAAGCACGAGATCACTTTTTAAAGATTCGTATTCTTTGTGTATAGAGATATTCCCACCAAATTTATCAAGAGCGTTGTCGTAACAATTAAAATCTCCTCCGATGATAATCGCAGAGGAGGGAATAAAAAACTCGTGAATCGAAACAAAAAAACTTTCCCGTTCGGTAGGATTGGTAGGAGCGTAGATATTGAGTACATTAATATCAAAGTCGTTGCACCTGATCAAAACACTGACAATACGACCTTGTGAGTCCTTCTTCCAAGATACGATTTCGTCTGAGCATTTGGAAGAAATCAAGGTGACGACACCACCCTGTTTCCCTGAGGCAGGGCACCACAAACTACAGCCCAGCCATCTACGGGATAGAGATTTGATAGTAGATTCAGAATGAATTAACGTTTCTTGTACAAAACAGACATCACAGTTGGACTTATCGATCAAATCAAACAAGAAGTTGTAGGTAAGGGGGTTTGCTAGCCCCATTGCATTGATAGTTAAAGTTTTGGAGGATTCTTGGAAAAAATACTCACATTTCACTTGAAGATTCTTGGAAAAAATACTCACTTAAGAATTATAAGCTTACATGGATTTCCTTGACCTGTTTCTCCCCTTTTTCCTCCCTGAGGTAGGGGGTCGAGAGTTCAGATGATGATGATTCTCTTCTCAGTTTGTGAGTAGTTTCCATCTCTTTCTCTGGGTTGTTAGGAGTGACCAATATGGGAGTGTGTGATGTGGTAGGTACAGGGATAGAAGAACGGGGTTTTCCGGTTACAAGTGTTGGCACGGTAGATTTTCGAAGGCACGCAAGAGAAGGTTCATCAGGCAGTTTGGCAGGTGTTCGGCGGGAAGGTGGTTTCATAGCAGATTTGATTGAAGCGATTAGACCTTGAGAAGTGATGAGGGGTGAGTCTGTAGGGGTAGATTCAGAAAATTGAGAGGATTGGCTGGGTTGTTCGGACGGATGAGAAAGCGGGGTAGGTTGTTCAGAGGGTTGAGAAGGTTGGGTAGGCTGTTGTTCGGGAAACAGACTTGGCTGGTTAGGTTCAGGTAGCGGTAGAGCTGTTAAGTCAGGTTGTTGAGGCGAGGGATCAATATGTTCATCAGATTGGTTCTGTGTAGTCAGCGGTAAAGCAGAGGCTAGCGGGAGATTTTTGTCGATGGATGAAGAATCATCAGCAGAGGGACAATTTTGTTGCTCGTCTTTAATATTGACCATTTCGGCCTCGTCTGTGTGGGCGCCATGAACTGTTGGAAAAATCCATGAATAATAACAGTTAGCACTCAGATGACCGGGTTCTTTACATATGCACCAGAGCATTGGCGGTGAGCATTGTCGCGCCTCATTCCCGGTCTTTTTCACAATTAACGCAGATTTTATTATTACGGGTGTTGCTGTAATGACCCGGGCAATTGCACCTCCGACAAGTTGGAAGTTGGTTGTTATGTTTGACGGAAATTTGCATTTTTCCAAAACGGAAAAAAACTTGGGATAGGCTTAATGATCCGTACTCTATAATGTCTTAAACCGTTGTAGATATTTGGTGCGTAACTGTGTTTCCCTCGTCTGTAATGTAGAACCCCGCAAAACGGTGCTAGTCGCTTTATGATAGCCAAGCTGGACAATTCGAAGGGCGCATCGTAGATTGTTAAATATGTTAATAGTTTATCAATTTCTTGAAGGGCGTAATGTTGAGTATCAATCAATAAAGAATTCAAGCCCAAAAATCTATCCTTTGCCTCCATAGATTTAAACGTGACTACAACTTCTCCGTTCATCTTTTGCTGTAAGCTTTGAATCTCTGTCGGGTCGATGTTAGAGGCAGCTAGAACATCAAAAACCGAGCGGGTAGATGTTTGTCTATGCGGCGTGAAGAAAGCCGTCTTTGGTCGCTGCGGCATACGATTTTCATTTTCCCAAACTTGTTGCGCCAAATCGTTCACTGGAACACTCCCTAATCTGGACGTACAAGCAGCACGTGAAGCATATGATTCGCCATTAATGGCATGCGGGTTGACAACAGCCGAATATTAATTATCTGCGAAATTTCCAACATCATCACCAACGATTGAAACATCTTCCAAAACTCTTGTATCGCTTTCGTTCGAATCCATAATCTTCAAAATCTCACCAGTAAATGAATAAAAGCCCCACGGAGCGAAAAAGCAACCTCAAATATCGGACTCTAGTAGTATGAAAAACGGCTAAGTAGAGAGTAAAAAATATGTCTAACTTAACCAAAAGGCCGAGAAGTGATCACTGTTTCGGCCTTCTGGGGCTCATCAGTGCAATGCTGATGCTAGGATGGGGGAGAACCGATATGGATCCCCAAACAATCCCACACTTGTGGTATCGTCTAAGCCATGCCAGGGTGCTCAAACTAGAAGAGCCTAGTGAGCTATGCACAATGCTAGCGACAATGACTCATCCCACAGTGCTCAATTTGGACATGAAAGCAGAGCTTTATATGCCAAAGAGAGCTATATCTAACTGCAGAAAGTACTGTTACGGCCTTCTGGGCCTCATCAGTGCAGTGCTGATGCTAGGATTACTGATGGCTTGGACGATACCAAAAGCGTGGGATCGTTTGGGGATCCATATCGGTTCTCCCCCATCCTAGCATCAGCGCTTACTATATTTTGTTGGTGGTATTGCAGTGTTAAATACCCACCCTCCTTAATGTCTCCTTAAGCTAGAGTTTTTTTTTAATTATTGTTATCTCCCTTCAATTTATAGGCTATTACCTTTCTGGTAGTTTACAGATAAAATAAAAAAAAATAACTCATTTAACTTTTTTAATAAACCTTTCAGAATGATTCTATTCAAAAACGTTCCCAAGGGTCAATCTGAGGTGACCTAATTTGGTTTCGTACATTTTTGTTTTATCAGCCAATTAAAACCAGAGGAAACAAGATATTTAAACATTTAGCAAATGTTACCCTTTTAATGATAAATAAATGCGAAATAAGGGACTAGATCCGATCAAAAAAATCAATTTACTTACAAATAGCTGAAGCGAGTGTACATGCAGTGAAGTACGTACAGTAGGGCAAGAGTAGGAGGTAAATTATAACCGAGTAGGACCTAGTGACTGTGACACTCTACCTTGCTAAACAGAAGCATTCAGTCACCATTCACTTGAATATGAAGCCTGCAAACACCATTTCAGAGTTCTGTATACATTGTAAGATTGTCTATACTAGTTATTAATTGCTCTAACACAAAAGTGCCAGACTACATATTTCTGTTGTTTATAGC